ATATAATTTTTTTGATCCGTTCTGTTTTGTGTATAAAAAAAAAAGTGTTTTTACTATCACCATTTTTAGTGGATAGTTTTTATGCCTTTTTTGTAGTTAGATTTTACTTTTTACTTTTTATAATTTTTATAATTACCTTTTTTTGCCTCAGTGGCTCATTAGATTCACATATGGTAGTAAAAATTACTGTATTACAGTAAAAATATCTGCAAGACAGTGGATTTTAAATTGAATATAAAATCAATACATTTGTCAAATATATAAATAAATTCTTTTTTATTAAATAAAAATCAAAGGCAGTACAACAAATAAATACTTTATAATTAAAAATATAAATATATATGTATAATTATTTTTACACCTTGTGGAGAGATACATAATTGTCATGAAAATAATGTCTGTAATTACTGAAAAACGTGATTGGAAAATCCACTTAATATTAAAGTGTCTTTGTTTTGCTGTATGTCATAATTTACACAAGTATAATAGTTATTAATTTCAGTTTACTTTTATGGTGAAATATGACCCAGATATGATCTTGAGAGGCTTCTTGAGGCTTCTTCATTTTCTTCCAGTCACATTTAAAGCCCTATGAAATGATGCGATGAACACAGCGATCAAATCCGTAACGCATTAAGTTTCTTAAAACAGCCTGAGCTCCGAATACAGCCTTCCCATGATCCTCTGCTCGTCTGATATCCACTTAAAGCCTAAAACCTTCAAGAAGTTCATGAGCAGCAGTTTGGGACTTTGTGACTGACGCGTTACACAAACTTTTAAGACTTTCCACTTTATCTTTTCAAGCTCCTCTGATGACAACTTTTTTGCAAGCCTGACAAACGCCAAGCCTCAGAAGTGTTTGCTATATTGGGAAGCGTCTGCGTTAATGTCCTATAAACAGTCTCCAGATCTGCTGCGCTCACACAGGCCTGTGACAGACATCTCTGCTGCTCTACATCACTGTCGACTCGCTTTAAAGGTGCCATAGAATGCATTGATACAATATTTTAAATTGTCCCCTGATATCTACATAGAAGGTATGTGGCTTAGGTAAGGGCAAAAAATCTCCAGAAACGGTTTTACATGTCCATT